GTGGACCTTGGCATAACCAGCCATGGATATTGACCCCATGCTGCCCTCTTGCACCTTTGCTGTCACAAGTGGCTAAGCAAAATCATAGAATCACAGAATGGTTTGGGTTGGAAGGGACCTTAAAGATCATCTAGTTCCAACCCCCCTGCCATCAGCAGGGACACCTTCCAGGTGATGGCTTGAGCAGGGACCATGTTGCAGAGTCCTGGTGCTCTTGAGGATGGTTGTTGCAGTTACTTGTGTATCTCCAGGGGTAGCAAGCAATGTAACTGCTGTTTGGGCTGACTGCTGTGGTTGGTTTGGTCTTGGGCTTCTCCCCTGCCAACGTGGGCATGTGACAGGAGCAATTCTGAAATGCCTTTGAGACTCACAGGTCATCTTCTTAGTGCTGCAGCTGGAGGGAACTCAAAATCCTGTAGCTGTGTTACAATGTCCATAGAGGGAAGTCTCTTCTTGACTTCTTCCCTTTGCCCTTGGTTGAAGTGAATTCAGCCTGACATCTGAGGTGTCTCTTGGTGCAGCCACTTAGATCTTTAATCCCCCTGACCTGGCTTGTTTGCTTTAGTGTTCATTCATGACGGTGTCTCCAAAACTGCTGCTGCATTGTGCAGCTCTTCACAGCAATCTGGCTTGTGATGGGCAGCCTTGGGCTTCAGGTTTTTTGGAGATCACTGATGCTTTCAGATATGAACCTGATGGTTTATCCGGACAAGGTAGTTCAACTCAAAATAGGCAGTGTGTTTCAGGCAGAATGGTTAACCTGAAATCCTTCCATAGATTGGGTCTATCAGTTTGGAATAAAGGTGTATTATGCCAAATTAGTGTAATCCACCCTCAGCTCACCACACTGAATTTAAACGAATTTACAACTGGGCATTTCTTTTCTCCTGACAAAGCATTCCTTCCACTTCGGAATAATTCCTTGCAGAAATGTCCCGAGAAACTTTTACATTTCCTAAGGAGCCCCATCGGGATTGAAACATACATATGCCCAGTAGCAACATAGCCAGTGTCTCCAGAAGAAACTCTGAAACTGTGGGATCACCTCTGTTTTCATATTGCTTGGGACTGGTACCTACTCATTTACTTCTGTGTTCAATCTAGAATGCATTCCAGACACAGCCAAGGAGTGTCAGCAACACTCGGCGAATGTCTCCAGTGACACTTGTTGGAAATGTTTGTGTTTTGCTCCTGAAAATTGCCTGGTGTGCGTTGCTGGCACAGTACAGATGTTCACTGCGCTGAATCTGAAGTGGGGAAGGGGAGTGAGTACGTGTCTGTGTGCACACATGGAGATTTGTACTGAGGACTGAGGATGGGATGTCTTGGGAGACTCATGGCCATGCTTGGGGAAGAGACTGGAGAACAGAAAGGGAAGAGACTGGAGAAGAGAAGCGCTTGCGTCAGTGTCTGTAGCCTGCTCGGGCCACTGGCTCAGGGAATCCCTGGGAGTTTTGGGATGTTGGTAGAGAAGCCAGGCAGGGCTGGAAAGTAGAGAGAATTCTGAGGGTTTCATCCATTGTGTCTCTTGTCATCTGCAGGAATCCACTGCCGCACCTCCACTGCATCCCCTGAAGCAGCTTATGGGACCCTTCCCTGGGCACCTCTGCCCCAGGACACACCGCATGGGATGGCAATGACACGTGGAAAGAAGAGACCCATGTTGCTCATCCCTTTCCTCATCCTCACAGCTGCTAGCTGCTTTGCCAGACTGAGTGAGTTTCTGTTCTTAGCCATTTGTTCCATTTCATTTGTGGCTTGCCTTCGTGCTGGTTAGCACAGCCATGCCTCAAGCACAAAGTGATTTTCTCTTTCCGCTGCTTCCTCAATAGCCTTGACCAAAGGTCTAGGTTCAAACACTCCTCCAAAGGAGAAGGGGAAACAATCGGAGCTGGACATCTCTGTCTAGTGGTGCCAAGAAGAAATGGGGCTGGTGTGCATCTCGAAGCACTAGGGTGGGTGTGTGAGGAGCTAAGGGGAAGGTGCAGCACAAGCAGAAGCAATTGAATGCAGAATGTACTAGCACTGCAGTTTTTTCCTCTGTCCTTTCTTTTCCTGAGTCTCACAGAGCTTTCTTATTCCTATTTTTTCCCCCTGTGCAGGTGAATCTCTTCAGGTTACAGTGCAACCTGCCTCCATTGTCCAAAAGCTTGGGGGCCCAGTCAGCCTGGGGTGTGTGGTGGACCCCTCCGGGGTGAACCTCACCTGGAGACTGAACGGGAAGGAGCTGGCTGGATCGGATGAGCTGCTGGGTATCCACATTGAGCAAGGGAAACTCGTCATCACGGCTCTCAACAACCACACGGTGGGGCGATACCAGTGCATTGCTCGTGTGCCCGAAGGAGTGATTGCCAGTGTCCCTGCAGTGGTCACCTTAGCTAGTGAGTAACTTCAGTCCTCTGCCATCGCCTGCATTGCTTGAGCCATCACTCCTGCATCTTGAGAGGCTCATCCACACTCACTTGTTCACATCAAGGGAGGTCTCCTTTGGCTCAGGCCCCTTTGTAGCAGTTTTGATGGTGGACTGGCTGTCACGTTGTGGCCTAGCCATGACCCAAGCAATCCTCCTGCATGGTAAGCTGCAGACCTGTCCTGCAGTGACAGTTTTTGCAAGACCCCAAAGAGCAGGAAATACTTGAGAGATGGGGTCTGTGTGTGTGGTTGGTTCCCTGGCTGTCATGTTGCTTTATCTGGTTTCTGACTTCTTGATTGAGGTTACCAAGAAGTACCTGCTGGTGCTGTTGACCAGATTGCTGCCTAGGCTGCGGCGAGGCTGTTGCCACTGCTGGATCAGTGTGTGCTGAGTTTTTCTGCCTTCCTGACCCACAGAAAGTGAAGTCCTGTGCCCTGCTCATGCTGTGGTGGGTCCTACGCTTTTTTTGGCGTTGCTTCTGGGTTCATCATAACCAAAGTACAAGCCCCCAACCTCACAGTAAGGAAAGGTTGGTCTGGTTTTGGTGAGGAGGCGTTCCTGAGCATCTGCATTAAGTGGCTGGTGGCCCTCTGTGCACCATTGGGAAGATCCTTTGCCAAAAGGCAAGATGAGGGAGAGGAGTGGTAGGAGAACGGTTGCATGGAGTTGTTGAAGGTGGGGGCACTGTCCTCATTTGGTAAAGCAAGTGCAGAAGTCAGCAGGAGGCAGGTAGAGGAGAGCAGAGTATCTCAAAGCACTCGTGACAAAGTCTTTGTCTTTAAGGGGCAGGAGGCTGTATTCATTATGACTGCTGCTGGTCCCAGCGGGGCATGCTCGCCCTGTCCAGGGCTTTGTCCTCTTCCTACGTGGTTGCAATGGCATGGCACCAAAAAGCCACCTTGTTTCTGAGCTACGGCTCTGAGCAAGGGACTTTGCTCCTCTCTCTGAGCTTGTGTTCTCCTCACTGCTGCCCTCTGGCATTGGCAAGGGAGACAGGAGATATGTGTGCGTGGGAGGGGTGTCCCAGAGTGGACAACTTCTCTTATGGTTGCCTGGTTTTGGCCAGATGTTGTGCTCGGATGTGAGAAAGTGCTGTTTTGGGAGACACCCGAGAAAGGGCAGCCCACGCCTGCTTGGAGATGGTGGGGGGGGGGCTCTGTATG